AAAACAGAGACCAGAACTGGCAAAGCCACCAACGACCACTGCCCAGCACCCAAAAGGATGTGGCCCTGCTCCAGCACACACTTACAAGGTCTCTTTTATCAGATTTGCAGCTCAGGATCTCACCAGCCGCCCTGGCTGCTTCCTCGTCATTCAATATTTATGTAAATAGCAACCTCGGTTCCTGGAGCAAATGTGTCCTGAATTGTGGGTGAACGATGGCAGTGCCATTGCCATGAGAAGTCAGGATCATTAAATGACGATGATTATGAAATGATATCACAGATGCAGATGGGTAATGGGTTTTGCAGGGCAAACACGACCAGGTCACGCTCCATTATCATTATTGGATAAATGCTTTTTCATTATTTTAAGGCAGGACAACGTGGGACGGATGGACACGTCCCCAGCATGCACAGGCAGAGCGGGTTCCTCACGCCCAGGCTCAGCCCCACGTGGGCTGATCCTGTTCCTGAGCATGGTTGTGGAGCTGGAGGATGCTGTGGCTCTGCCTGCAGCTCCTCCCCGCTGGGCAGGGAACTCTCCTACGCCACTTCCAGTATCAAAACACAGGCAGACACTCTGCCCCAATGGGTTTCAAGTCTTGATAGCGGCTCCAGGAGGATGGAGCCCGCGCTGGGCAGGACAGCCAGGGTGACTCTCCAAGGTCACCCTGGCACCCGCCTGCTCGCTGCAAGTACCAGTCCAGGGAACAATGCTGCTGGACCTTGGAGAAGCCTCTGAGGCCTCGAGCCCACTGCAAGCTCACTGCAGGGAGACCCTGCTCTCAGGAGCACCGTGGACTCTGCCTCCAGCACCGCGGCTCTGCCAGGTCAGAGGAGCTGGGCAGGCTTTGGCCTGGGGCAGGCATGGGGGTCACTCTGCTCCCAGCCCCGGCAACAGCCCACAGCTGCTGAGGGTGAGGAGCAGCATGGGCAGTGCAGACAGGCCCAGTCCCCCAGGATCTACCTGGCACCACCACCTCTGCTCTGTCAGGGCCAGTGGAGCTCCCTCCACCGCAGGACCAGCAGCGACCAGGCGGTGCAGACACTGCTCAACCCGGCCCTGCAGCAGAACTCGATGCCCAGCCAGTGAGACAAGGAGGGAGCTCCACTGTGTAGCCACAATGTGGAAGGGCGCAAGACCCTGTGCAAGAAGGCAGCCCCAGGGGGAGGCCGAGGGCCTCCAACTGCTCCTCTGGAAGATGCCAGATCAGCCCAGGGCAGCGCATGAGGGCGGCAGCAGGAGATGCAAGTGCTGGTCCCTGCCCTGAGTCCATGGCCACCTCCACCTGCCTCAGGGAGCCCTATGCTGTGGAGACTCGTCAGTGTTAGGAGAGAACAGAATTTGAGGTCTGGCTCAGGGACATCCCCCACCCAGGCACCCAGTGAACCCTCCCCTGAGCCGCCCCAAACCATGCACCAGCAGAGTCAAAATGACTCAGAGCTGAGCCCCTGAGCCCCACTGGCCTCTGGAAGAAGGCTCCCCCAGCCCCTTTGAGGTCACTGAACCAACTGGTTCAGCCCCAGCGCTGGCTCACTAGTAATGCCAGCACTGCCCCCGACAGTGCAGCCAGCCATCCCTCCCTCCCAGCAGCTTTCACACAGCTAGGGAAACGTTTGCCACTCCAGAGCTCCCCAGGGCTTGTGGGCCAGGAAGGAGATGGAGCTGCAGAGCTTTTCTCCTGGGTTTGCCATTCCTCACCTGGAAGACACACAGGCTGGATCTTGGGGACTCAAGTCCTCTCAGAAGTGGGAAGAATCCCCCTCAAACTGGCTGAACCCCAGGGACAGGATCAGGCCTCCATGGGGGAGGGGGAATCATCACAACGCTCTGCCTGGCAGTGGCACAGCACATCCCCCCCACCCAGCACTGGCACTTCCCCGGGGAGGGGGACCCCGAACCGCAGGGTTCTCCAGAGGCAGAGCCAAGGCCCGGTGGGGCTAAGGGGGGCCGAGCCTGCCGAGGCTCCGGGAAGGACGAGGGGACGCCCTTGCCCGGGCAATGAGAGTGCTCCCGGCATCCCCGGGGCGGCGGCTGCTGCGCTGGGGAGGGGGATGCCTGGCTCGCCTGCGCTGGGGAGGGGGATGCCTGGCTCGGCCCCTCCCGCGCCCGGCGGCGGCTCAAGGTGCCCTCGGCCCGGCCGCACCGGCGGCCCTGCTCCCCGGCCCGGCCCGATGCCCGGCCCCGCAGGATGCTGGATGCGGGATGCGGCCGAGCCCCGCGGGTACCGCCGCACCTGAAGTCGCTGTAGGGATGGATGATCCAGGCCCCCGCCGACTTGACGCGCTCCTGCTCCCGCTCTACCGCCTTCTGCGAGCCGAACATCCGCAGCGAGAACTTGTTGACGCCGGGCTGGAGCATCGCCCCGAACTGCCGCTGCATGAAGCTGGCCTGGCTCCCGCGGACCTCCTCGCCCGCATCCTCGCCCGCGCCCTCCTCGGCTGCCTTGGCCCCGCCGGGGGACGCGCCGCCGCCGCCGCAGGAGAAGGAGACCTTGGGCTCGCGAGGCGGCTCCGGGCCGGGGCTGCGCGGAGGGTCCCCGCGACGGCACTCGCCGTTCGGGGACCCCTTCCCGCCGCGGCCCCGCGCCCGTCCAGTCGCCGCCGCCCCGCCGCGCTTGGCCGCATCGGCCGCCTCCTCCTCGGCCGCCGCCTCCCCGCCCGCCGCGCCGCGGCCCGCCCGCATCCTGATCCTGATCCCGCCGCCGCTGCCGCCGCCGAGGCCACCGGCGGCACAGTGGCACCCGCCGCCGCGGCGGGGGCGGGCCGGGGGCGGGCCGGGGGCGGGCAGCGGGGCCGGGCCGGGGACCGGGCGGCTCCGCAGCTCCCCCGTCCGGCACAGCGCTCGCCGGCGGGACCGGCTACCGGGCGGGCCGTTCACCTTGAGCTCCGACAGCCCCGGACCCCGGCAGCACAGTCCCCGGTGCGGGGCCGGGCGCTCCCCCCGCGGGGCTCTGCCGGCCCGACCGCCTCGCCGGGGAGGGAGCGCTGCCCACCCCGAGGCAGGGATGGACACCATCTCCGCGCTGGGCACGGGGGCTTTGCCCTCCCACAGCCCCTGGTGCCCACTGCTCCAGCGCTGAGCCCCCTGCACCGAGCCCACGGGCAGCAGGAACCCCCGGGGTAGACCGAGGGATGAAGACCCCGGTCTGACACCCCGGGACAGGGCCAGCAGACGCAGCTGGACCCCACCGCAGCGGACACCCGCCAACGAGGCCGATGCCCCGGGCGCAGAGAACAGGGCATAGGGACCGGCACCTCCTGCCCTCTGCTCCAGGACGTGCTTGTCCCGCTGCGGCTCCCCCGGGCTGCGAGGCGTCGAGGCACGCCGGACGAGGAGCCCGGGCGAGCTCCGAGCACCCCCGAGCAGCCCGACACGGGACCGGAGCCGCCCCGCCCTGGGGCCGCGGCTCTGGGAGGGACCCGTGGGGTGGCGGAGCCGGGCGAGCAGCGAGGCCGCGGCGGTGGCACCACCTGGTGCCACGGGACAGAACCGCACCGGGCACCGCGTCCCCCGCCACGGCCGAGCCAGCGCCGTGCCCGGGGCGGGGCGGCTGCAGCCCCTGCACGGACCCCACGGGCGGAGACACCCCAAAAGCTGCGCTGCGGGCCACAGGGGCCCCATTCTGCAACATCACTCCCCGGGCTTGGCACGGCTGCCTTCAAGAACAGCCCATTTCTCCAAACCATCCCCGGAGAACAGCAGTGCAGCTCCTCAGCTGCCCCCAGCCCAGAGGAGAGACAGATGCTGCAGCTTAACCTGAACGGGAGGCTGGAGATGCTGGAGCCAAGGCGTCAGGAGGCACGGGCTGAGCGGGGTCCCGCAGTGCCCAGAGCACCAACTCTCTCCCCAGGACAGAAAGGGGCACTGCAGCCAAGGCCTGCTTGTGCCATCCCCGTGCAGGGTTCCACGTGGCCGTCCTTGGGCCATGGCAGGGCTGTGCCTGGGCTCACGGGGGCAGCTGCCACAGGCCCAGCAGAGAGCAGCACTATGCCATTCCACCCCCTGCCCAGCTCCCAGGGCTGTTGTCCCCCGTCCCTGCCCAGTCAAACAAAAGGCACAAGTGGTTCTTTGTGCTGCGGCCAAGAGCTGGGTCAGGCAGGACCCATAATCCTCATCAAGGAAAATTAAGCCATGCATTGATTTTTCACCAGGATAGCATGAGGCCGGCTGTGAAAGCCTTGCATAACCCACTTACAGGCTGCAGAGCCCTGCTGCCCGCACAGCCCAAGGCCAGCTGATGGCACAGCGAGGCAGAAGCACTGACAGGAGGGATGCAGCTACCACAGCTCCAAGCTGCCAGCAGTTCTCTGGGCACAGTTTAGCTATCAGAGCCACACTCTCCCCTTAACCCTTCCCAGGCCCTTAAAAGGAAGAAGTGTCTGGCTACAGAGCATGGCCATGGTTCAGTCAATTGCCAGGAGCAGAGCACACAGTTACCTTAGGCCAGCTGGGAGCACATGGCAGCTTCCCTTCAGCCCATGGCCTTCACTGCCTCACTCCAGGGGCAGGAATGCTGGCAAAAAGCCTCCTGAGCTCAAGGCTGGTAGCAAGAAGGGACCCCCACCACCACATCCTCAGTCCTCTCCCCCAGGCCCTGCTCTGTGCACAGAGGTTTCACATTTTTGCTCACTTTCCTGCCCCAAAAAGAGCAGGAAAAAAACCTGCTTAGAGAAGCACAAGACACACAGGTAGCATGTCCTATGAGGGCTCCTGGAGACTGAGGCTGATCCTTGACCCCACAGCCACAAGGCCTGAGGAACTGCAGAGCAGGGCAAAGCGAGACCTGTCCCAAACAGGTAAGTGTGCCCAGTGCCCCTCGGGGCTCTGCAGAGCAGGGAGCGCCACTCCCTCCCTCCAGGGAGGCCTTTTACACCCATCAAGCTGCAAATCCTCAGCAATTAGAAGGCAGCCAGAGCTGGCACCAAACTGAGACACAGCATCCTGTTTTGCAGCCAGAGGGTCAGGCAGCCCAGAGGGAAGAGACCAGAGTCCAGAGGTGGAAAAAAGAGAGAGGAATCATTTTTATTTGTGAAGTGTTAACAGATGGAACAGTTTGATGCTACCCAGCAGTAAAGGTGTTAGACTCCCCTGAGCACTCATCTGCTCATAAGCCCCCATGTCACGCACACACTGCGATGGCTCAAGCACAAGCACACACTGTTAAAACTCAAACCACCCCCAGCCCCAGCTCACCCTGCCCCATCCCCACGGCAGGGACATGAACCACCCATGGAATAAGTTACAGCAATCATTTATCCAGTGTCCAGCTCTAACTGCTCCTGGCTGCCTGTTTCAGAGGAACCAAGAACAGCTCAGGAGGGGCTAACTGGGAATCTGCCTGGCCATGAACATGCCCTTTGCCAGGGAAAGGTGCAGCCTTGCTCCAGGTGATGCACTGCGAAAAACACAGAACTCCCCTCCTGAATCCTCTGGTCAGATCGTGTCACCTCCTGACAGCCACCAAAGCAGCTCCTCCCTCACCCCCACATGCAGGTGGGACACAGGTGGCTCCCACCCCCCCACTCTGTACCAACACAAAGAAACCCAGGACAGAGACAGCCAGGGACCTAGACTATTGGGAACAGGGGATTTACATTTACAGGTAGAAAAACCCTCCCATGGCTCTTTAAAAAAAAGAAGTGTATTTTAGATTCTACAAGTTAGATTCTTCTAAGTTTCCTTAGAAAGTGAAGTAACTGAATCTCAAGGACGCACTAGAATATTCCATGGTGCTATTTTACCAAAAAAATAGAAGAAACCAAAATTGTCCAGACGAGTTCTTCATCTACACGTCACCTGGCAAGAGAGAAAGAAAAGCCAGTTAGATAATCCAGTTGCACCAGTAGGGCTGCACTGTGCTAGAGGGAGCTGGTGGAGCCCACGCTGGGCCAGAAGAGCCTCTGGCTCCACAGATGCTTCAGCTTCTCCCAGAGACCCTCTGCAGACACAGACACTGCAGCTCTTGCCCCCAGGTGTGGCTCTGCCCTCAGGCCTGACACTCACCTGGCCCCACTCCTAGTTTGCATTTCTCTGGCGGACATTCTTGTCCTTGTGGTTTGTGGCATTGCTCTTCCTGGGAAGAAAGGATGGACATGAGGAAAGGGAGAGCAGAAAGCCCCCCTCCCTGGCCCACTCATCTAATTCAGGTCCAAACAGATGGTGCAGCTCAGCAGGAGATCAGTTCCCAGAGCAGTGCCAGACCCCGATGCCACCCCAGGTACGTGTGGTTTACACACAGGGACATTTAGTGAGCCATGGGGAGACATATTCCCACCCAGCACGCTGAGTGTTGCCCCACACCAGCCAGTTTTTATCTTCAGAGCAGATTCCCTGGGTGGATGAGATCTGTCAGCACAAATCTGGCTAAATAGGGAGAGGAAAGGTACTCACAGTGGTGCAGAGCCTCCATCATCATCTGCACATTCGGGACAGCGAGGAAAGAAAGAACAAACAGCGTCAGGGAAGAGCATGTACAAAGTGACCTCTGCCTCCTCTTAAAGCACTGGGGACTATGTTCCAGGCAGCATTCCCACCACCACTTAAAAATGGGAAAGAGCCACAGCTCCTCTGGTGAGATGGCAGCACTGCCCCAACCCATCTGCACCCGCCCCCACAGCTCCATGACTTGGGATGGCTCCCAAATCTGAGCACACTCACAGCAGGTAAAGGGGAAACCAAACAGGATGTTTCAGGAATAGGGGCTTTAAGCAGCGGCAGGAAGCCCTTTTCCCTTCCCACATGTTGTGATATCAAAACAAACACTGCACACCACGTTCTGGCTACACTGAGCAGCACAGCTAAGGAAACACCTCTGCCAACACGTGCCAAGTCCTGAGGCCTTTCACCAGCTCCCTGCAATCTGCCACCTCCCAACAGGAGGCTCCCAGACATCTCCTTCTGCTCCCCCCATTGCCTCTTCTACAGCCCTGGCTCCCCTCAAGTGACCCCAAGCCCCACAGTCCAGGCACTGGGACTGCCCTGGGCACCAGGATCTGCTCACAGCTGGTGAGAGGACAGAGGCAGACACGTGGCTTCTACACCTTCTACTTACCATGTGAGGTGGCACCCAGCAGCAGAGAAGGGAAGAGTGGACAGGTAACACCAGCAAGAATATCACACCAAACACAGGCTGGACTGTCCCCATCCCAACCCAGGTGACAGGAGCGTTCAGTTCTCAGCCAGTACTGGGAGGAACTGGGTCAGACAGGCCTCACTGTCACCTCCTCTAAGGAGGGGCAAAGCTACAGGGACTTTTGGGGAGAGAGAACCACTTGGAAGATGCAGCTACAACTTCCATAAGAGGACACCTGCCTTCCACCAGCCAGGGGTGTCAGAGGGCAAAACATCTGCTTGTAAAACTGCCTTGAGTGGAATTCCAAGCCCTGCAGTCAGAAGACGGATATTAGGCCTTAGCCCCTCTGCTGCACCTCTCCTCAGGGGGCTGAGGGGCCCAGCAGTATCCGGGGCAGGAAGGATACAGAGCATTCACACTGCATTGTTAACGGGATCAGATAAGGGCGACCCAGCTGACACAATGCAGATCCTCACCGATAAGGAAAGGGAGGAGCTGGTGCTTCCAGAAAAGATTAAAGATAGTACCGGGCTTTGAGATCCAGGATGTGTTGATCTGATGACCCAAAACATTCTGAGCTGAACACAAGCTAAGCCTGGTCTTGCTGAGCTACTTATAGTCCCACAGTTTTACAGCACCACAAAAGCTCTACCTCTTATTTACAAACCACCCTCTCCAGACTGGGAGCTGCCAAAGCAAACCCAGCCCTGCAGACACAGGAAATACCTAAGCAAAGAGCAGAGGTACTGGTGAGGCAAAGGGTCAGGCTGACCTGCACCGAATCCTCTCTTGCTCCATCTCACTACTGGACTGCCAGAAACAGCACAGTTACAGGCAGTTTCATGTCTGAGGTGGCACAGTACAGACTGCCCTTGTTTCACGAGCGCCCACCCTCAAATCAACCCCCTCTGACAAGGGGACCTCAGAGTTCCCTGCGAGCCCATCTTGACACCCAACAAGTTACTTGATCTCCCCCCAGAGATTTAAACCCAGGCGCCTCCTACCATCAAGAACCTCATCTGGCTTCCTCCTCTTCTCATAGATGAAGATGATGGTGACAAGAACAAGGACTTCTGCCACGATGCCCAGGAAAGGCCAGAGCGCTGCCAGGCGGCTGCGGACGCGCAGGTTCACCGTGGCATCCCCGGAGCCGTAGGAATTGATGGCATTGCAGCGATAGTCGCCCGTGTCCTCCTCGATGTTCAGTTTCAGGATGCGCAGCTCCGTCTTGTTGCCGCTGGACTTGATGATGTATCTCCCAGAGGCATTCTGTAGGTCCTGGAGGGAGGAGGAGGAATAAGAGAGCTCTGAGGGCAGCGCTGACTGACCGTGCACGGTCCAACCCCCACAGAAATCCTCCTTCCCGGGGCACTGAGCTTTGAAAGACTCAACTCTGATGGCACAAGTTCCCCCACCTCTGTGCTGGGCAGGAGGGTTGGCAGAAGGGGAGAAGGAGCAAATCACAGCACTTACACTTTCACCATTTTTGTACCAGGACCAAGTGGTGACAGGGGGGAAAGAGGGATTCTTGCAGGTCAGCACACCTGTGTCCCCCTCGTTGCCATGCTCAGACTTCTTGTATGCCGTCACCTGGGGGGCAACTACGGCAAGAGAACAAGAAATTCAAACACCCCATTACAGAAATCACATAGATTTGTGCTCTCTGCAACACCTCACAAAATCAGGCAGTTACCCCAAAGCTTGACCTCAGTAAGGCTGTTCCTCTCTCTACTTTGGCATTTTCAGAGGGGAAAGCAAATCAAGCTGCTTCAAGAAAGGCTCAGACAGATTTGTCCACCAGGTACTATCCTTCTCCCAGTTTTCCTGTGGGAACATGCCCACGGGAATGCAGGATCTAAGAGCAGACCCTGCAGACACAGCATTGCCTGATAACACGGCACACAGAGCCCTGCAGCCAGGTAAGGGCTGGGAGCAGCCCCTCAAGAAGCTGAAAAGACACCACAGCAAAGTTTTCAGGAGATGACAGCTCCCCCATGCCCCTCCTCAGACCCAGAAGCAAACACATGAAGTTACCTGAAATATTCACTTGTCCTCTTATCTCCGGGCTGGTTTTGTAGACACACTCATACATGCCAGAGTGCTCCTCCATCTTCCCCTCGATTCTACCAAAAACAGGATTCAGGTAAGCATCCAGCACAACTGACTTACCCACAGACACCGACCTCCAGAGCCATGGAATCAGACATCCATAAGCATCAGCAACCTCCTCTATAGCAAATTTCTCCCTTTCCAGAAGAGTATTTATGCTGCACCATGTACCTACAGCAACCCAACTCTCCACTCTCCCCTCCCCACACACTGAGGATGCCAGAAGAGGCTTTCACGTGCACCACATCTGACACAGGTCTGTCAAGTCAGAGATCACTGTTCCAGCCCACTGAAACACAGGGCAAAGCAGGGGCAAAGATCATCCAGGTTGGGCTACTCTGGATCAATCCCAGCACAGGGAGAACTCTCCCGTTCTCCTTCCTGTAAAGCTGCTGCAATGAGATTTAGTGGATTATGCAGCCCCGCAACAAACATCCCATTCTGCTGCTCAGTAATACCCACTCGAGGGAAGGGGCCCACAGAGTTTGTCCCGTGGCTGCACTGGGACAACGGGCTGTTTGTTAGTTCTGCTGTGCACGGCGCTTCCCACTTCCAAAAACCACTCAGCTGAGGAATTGAGGTCACGCGAGGGAGGCTGGGTTATAAATACTTTAATCCTTGTTCAGCTCCCTGTTGCTATGGGGAGACAGGCACGTCGGCACTGCCATACAAAGGGACATGATGCCTCCACAGCTGCTGGGTCAGTGCCAGCCAGGCCTGACTGTAATCGGAAAGGAAAGCTCACTGCACTGCCACAACAAGGCTGGTATTCCCACACTGAGCACAGACCACGGCTCGCTGCAGCTACCCAGCTCCTGTGAGAACAGCTGGACTTTGGAAAGGCACAAAAAGCCCCCAGGAGAGACAACATGCACTGGAGCCTCTCACTTCAAAGCTCTGGGGGAACAGCTCTGGCACAATGACCAGGCCCAACATGCTGTGCCCGACAAACCAGAGCCCAGTTGAACACCTGCTTACAAACACGAACAGCAGAACTGCTCTGCGAGGATATTTGTGGCATAAAACCGTCCCTTCCTCCTTCTTTTTGTCCCCTCCTCCCCAAAAAGGAGAGTGTTGGGCCTTACCAAAACTCTGTCCAGCTCATCCTATGCTCTACAGTCCCAAAGGCCTGTCATCAGCAGGGCTACAAGCACTCAGCCCTGGGTCCAGCTGACAGCAAACAGCAACTGCCCCTGGGAAAAAACATGCCCATGCTCAGGTTCTGACCTTGCCCCGACACTCACGTGTAGCTGGTGAAAGCACTGTCGGTCTCGTCCGCTTGCAGGACCTTGTCCCCATGCATCCACTCGTGGCCCTTGATGGTGGAGTATGGCCCAGACATGTTACAGGTGAGGACCAGCTTGCCAGAATCCTCAGCGACATGAGCCTTGATGTCCGGACCTGCATTCGTAAAGAATTGGATTTAAGTTAACACAGGGTATTGCAGAGCTGACACGGGGCCCAAGAACCTGCAACACAAACCCCACAGCTCCTCGTCTATCCCAGCTTCCACTTACCTTCATACAGAGTTCCCTACCAGCCCTGACAGTGCCAGCAGCAGACAGTCCCCAGCACCAGGTGACTGGGCCTGAGTGCACCTGGGACAGCAACGCTGACCCTGCAGCTGCTCCCCTACAAGCAGGACCTCTGCTGTGTCCTGCATCACTTGGAGCCTCTACTGTTGCTACCATGGGTGCAGCCCCAGCAGAGCCCAGTGCTCAATAAGCAATGGAAAAGGTCACTCTGAAGGGCAGAGCAGAGCTCTCTGCTGCTGTGAGCCACCAGAGCACTCATGTGTCAACACCTCCTGCCACCTGAGCAGCTTCAGACACCTCCAGGTAACACAGAGGGCAGTCAGGACCCTCTGTTGCAAGGGGCAGCAGACCAGACCGTGTGGCAACAATATGTGCTTCATCTGAGGCAACCCAAAGGGTTTAGTCAGAATTAGTCCAGGGAGAACACAGAGCCGTGACTCCGAAAGGCCCTGGGCCTCCATGTGCCAGGCAGCAGTAAATTATGCAACATAAGATGACTCAGGCATTTCTACTCGTAGGAGGCTGTCCGAGAAGGCAGCTGCCACCAGCAGCACCATTACACAGCCCTGGTGGCACTACGGTCCCTACCCTTCCACCCAACCTCCATCCCTTGGAAGGAAGAGTTTTTGCCAGGGTTGACAGGCACTTTGCTTTTCCTCCTATCCAAATTCCACTGGAAGAAGGTTCTGCTGGAGTTCTGCATTTCCTAGCACATTTCTGCTGAGAAGGGAGCTATGCCCATCTAACTCATGGGAAGACCTCACCGGGATGTTAAGCTCCCTCCCAGGTTTCTATCGCTCAGAGCGGTCTGTGCACTCCAGCGTTCGCCCGCCCGCTCTGCGAGAGGGAACCTGGCCACGTCCACGGGACAAGCAATGACATCACACTCAGTGTCACACAGACACGGCCATTTCAAAAATGGTTGCATCTTAGACCTCAAAGCAGGTTTTGTTCCCCACAGCCTGGGTCACCAGCACAGAAGCGAGCTCAAAGCAGGGCTGCTGAGAGGAGCGGGAGCTGTAGGAGCCGCAGGAAAGGGCCGCTGGTCAGTGGTGGTTAGGGCAGAGTCGACCGCAGAATCAAGGCTCAATTCTGCGGCCACACCAGGGCTCGAAGGCGCTCGGGGATAAGCGGCAGGTTCCAGGTCTTTGGCTCCGGAAAAGGCGCAGGATTGCCGGAGGGCGAATTGGTTGGGAAGCCACAACCCTTTTTGAGCAGGGCCATTTCGGGTCAAGTCACAGGTGGTGGGGAGTCGACAGAGGGTGGGAGTCTCTCAGTTCTACAGCGGGGGGTGGGAGGGTGGGGGAGCTTTTGGGAGCCACAGGACACGGGTGCAGGGGTGAGCATGGCAGGAGACTCAAGACACCAGTGTCCGAGCAAGTGCCAAGGCCTCGACGTGGCCACTCACGTTCGATGACAAAAACGTTCGCCTGGGAACGGATCCACTTGACTTTGGGGCTCTTCGACAAGTGGTTGCGGTCGGGATCGTTGCTAGCCCGGCACTCATACATGCCTGAGTCGTCACTCGTGAGGTTTGCGATGTAGATGGTACTGGTAGAGTGCAGGTTGTAGGTGGCGTTGATTTTGACACGGTCCTGCCGTGCGCCATCCCAGAGCTGAGCATAGGTCTCATTGGGATCGTTCCCCTCAAACCACCACTGGATCTCGGGGATGGGATTGCCAATCGCCTCGCAGTACAACTCCACGCTGTCCTGAGTCAGTCTCTTTTGAGACAGCGGTGACTTTATAAAACCAGCTATGAGTTGAAGAGGTATTAGTGCAAAGTGTTAGTGCAAAGCAAGAATTCACCTTCTACAAGCAAAAATAATCCTCAGCGACTGAGAAGAGGCTGCACATCATCTCCAGATCAGCGCACCCTACCTGCCCTCCCTCCCTCCACGCTCTGAACTCTGCCTGGCTCAGACAGGGCTGTTCACTTCGTATCTCCTGCGGCTCCACTGCAAAACCAGCACAGACAAAACAGCACTCTGTGTTTGCCACTATCCAAACTGGACACCCACAGCATCGCCCACCCACTGCGAGGGACGGCCGTGCCTCCGGGGCAGACCAAGGGCTGCAACGCTCCCCAGCCCCCAGCGCTTGCAGTTCCAGACTTTTCTGTGAGGGCTTATGCAGCCTCCACAGTCCCCAGCCCGTGCTCTGGCAAGGTGCTGCACAGGTCACGTCACCACGAAAGGCTGGGGGGCAGCGAGGTGGTGGGACCCCAACACGTGTCCTGCTGCAGAGAGGGCGGCAGCGCCAGAGCACAGACTGAGCCCCTCCAAGTCAGTTTGGGTAAAATGGGAAAAGTGCTTCCCCGTGCCCCCCTCCCCGAGAGGAACATGCCCATTCCCCCTCCCTGCACAGCCCCAAGGCTGGCTGACCATAACTGGGAGCTGGCTGGGGCCCAGGCCCCCCTCGCTGTGCCATGGCTGGGGGACCTGGTGCACAGCCACACATACCAGCCCCTCACCACCCTCCACCTGCTCACAGCTTTGTTTCATCCCTCTGCTCACCAAGGTGCCTGGCAGGAACTTCTAAGCACAGTACTGAGGTAACAACTTTTTTGGGGGAGGAGAAAGGTCTTGCAGTCTGCAAGACATCCTGAGCCAGGTGGGGAAACATGTAAATTTGTTGTCATACAAACAGTGAAATCAGACTTTTCATCTCAGGCAAGACCAGCCTGCAGAACTGAACTAGCAATAAACAGATCAGAGGCACAGGCAGCAGCTGCAGGCTGGAATTCAGGTATTTTTCACTCTGCCCTTGCAGCCAGAGGCCAGGGGGTTCAGCGCTGCAATCAGCCAGTCCAAAGGTCGGTCCGTGTGCTGAGGGAAGCGAAGCTGCCAAATGTCTTCAGGCTCCAGGGCAGGCACAGGGCAGCACCCACAGCCCGGGGAGCCCTTCCCAGGGCGGGCAGGAAGGGAGGCTCAGTGGCTCTGCTTCGGGAAAAGCCATCAGGCCCAGGTCGAGGCCACTACGTGACTCACCCTAAGCCAGGTTTCGGAAGAAGCTCAGCTTTCCACACGTCCTTCCTCCACTAATGGGCGGCCCTGCACACCAAGAGCCTTCCAGGAATTAATTTACTCAGTTAAAAGCACTTTACGATCATACAGAACCCTCCACTGATGCACCGTGACGTACAAGCACAGAGGAGGTGGGTTTGGGAGAGGGTTTTTTGTACGCCTGAAAATGTTTTAACAGGAAATTCTAGGACTGTTTTTGTGAGAGTAGAAACAAATCAGTGTCACAAACCTAAGTTTGCTCAAACTGAAGAAAAATACAAGACAGTTTGTAAGCAAAGATTGACTCCTAAATAAATCAATTCCACGTTTCTCAAAGGAAAAATTAGCTTTACATACTAAAGCTTTGAAAGTCTTGAAGAATAAGCATCCCTGAAAGAGAAAGGACCCTCATATGCAGCCAAGATGCTCTTGGGAGAAGGCTGACTGATTTTAAATAAGTGGGAGGTCCAGGGGTCCCCAGAGATGTACAGGACAGGGGTATCAGCTGTGAGCAGCTCTCTCACACTCTGGGTTCCACCCCCAGGACCAATGACCTGTGTGCCGTGGGGGACTTTTCACACCACAGGCTTGTGATCAAAGATTCCTTGTTCTGACAAGCCCTGGAACTGCCCACAGCACTTGTACAAGCCTGTCCATTCCAACTGCAGCCTGAATTAAAGCAGGAGCTGGTAAAGATCAAGGGTTTTACAGCTACAAGGTGATTACTGTACTCTGACAAAATAAGCTGTGCAAGGTTATTTGCTCTGAGTTACAGGGTACCTCGTGCAGTTCAGACAGGTTAAAAGACTCCAGAGCAAGTAGCAGCAACAGTGAGTACCATTTGCAATCCCATGAGATTAATGTTCCCCCTGTTCCCACCAGAAAGCCGAGCAGGCAATCCCAGTCCCAGGCTCTCCAGGCTGGGGAAAGCGCCTGCTGAGCCCAAGGCACAGGAGCACAGGCAGCAGCAACCCACTGGAATCGATCGGGGCCGCTCACACATTTTCCAGAGAGTGCCAGGCTGCAGACTGGAATCAGCTCCCAAAGGCCAGACATTCCCCACAGAGCTGAGCCGGAGCCTCCCCCGGCGCCTCCCAGGCACAGCAGCAGTATCTGATCCAGCAGAACAGCAGGGAAGGCAGAGAGAACAGATAACGTTCTCCAGAGTCACCTTCCAGCTGAAAACAACCTCTCCAGTCCCCGGGGTGTAAACAGCCTGGACACCCTTGGGGCAGACCAGCCTGACCAGAGCCCCACTGTCCCACAGGGTATGTGCTCCCACCTGGCCTGACCTTTGTTTCTTGGCTTGGGAAGGGGATAGCTGAGGCTCTGACGCTTTTTGCCATTTTCACTAACAGCTACAAAACCTGCCCTTAAGCTTCACACAGCCAGGCCAAAGTCAGGGGCCCTCCTCCTGAGGGCACAGAGTCCAGGCACACACCAACCTACGCTCAGGGTGAGCTGCCACACAGTCTGCTCTGTAAAAAACAAACCTAAACACTGCTGAGAGGTCAAACCCCCGCTTTCCAGCCCCCACTCTGCTATCTCGAGGCACCAGCACTGTTACACACCAAGCCCAGGAGCCTGGTGGCCGGGCAGGACACGGGTGTTACACAACTGACGGGGCAGCTCGTCCTTCTGGGGCTTTTCAGACCAAGGATAGAAACTGCCTCCTCCACGTCCCACTGGTGCCAGTCCCCTGGCAGGAGGCCAACAGAGCCACAGAGGGAGTGGGATACAGCAGACCCGGGTAGCTCCAGATGAGTTTATGAAACTTTAACTGTGAGGTTTAGGAGGAGGCTCTGCCCCGAAGAATTAAAATGCAACTCTGCAGCAAGGAAATACTTTAAGCAGACACTTCTATCATACCCCAGCTTTTCCGGAATCCTCCCAGTCTTTCACCTTCAGTCTTTGGTTCTACTATGGTGAAATTAGCCTGGTACCACAAACTGCCTACAGGTACCAGACGCTCTAAACAGCCAGGACCAGCGGTCCGCCCCTGGCGATCAAACTGAGCCTCTTCCATCAGCACCCCTTGCACGCGGACTGATCCAGAAGCTGCGGAGTCCTGCGGGCAGACCACGGCTGGGTTTGCCATGGCCACCGGCTCAGTTTGCCATGGACTCCTCCAAAATCTGAGAACGTGAAAGGTGAAGCCCCAGCACGGGGCAGACCCGGCTCCTCCCTGCGGGACGTGCTTTAATCACCCACCGTGGGGCCGCCGGAGCCTCTGCTCGGCGCCGGGGATTATCGGGGACACCCTTAGGGTTTAAAGCCGAGAAACCGGAGAAGCGGCTGCGGGGAACAGAATTCCTCGGTTTTCCTAAGGAGAAAACAGCCCCGCGCGGCCGGGAGCGCCAGCGGACCCCCCCTTCCCCCGGCCATGGAGAGCGGCGAGCACGCGGTGCGCGGGGGAGCCCGAGCCCCGGGACCGCCCGGCCCGGCCGCCCCCGGCCCGCCCCGAGCCCCCGGGGCGCCCCCGCTGCCCGGGTGCGGCCCCGCCCGCCGCGGACGTGCCCCGCCGCAGGCGCCCGCGCCGCCGCTCCTCCCCCCGCGCCCGCCGCTGCCGGGCCCGGCCCGGAGCTCGCCCGCGGGGCCGGGATACCGCGGGACCCTTCGGAATCGCGCCGAGCCCAACTCCTCGCAGGGCCCCCCGCGGAGCCCCCCGCCCCGCCCGGCGGAGAACTCGCCCCGGAGCCGCCCCGGAGCCGCCCCGGCCCTTCCCGCCCCGGCCCATCGCGGCCCCGGCTCGGCCCGGTTCGGTCCTTACTTGTCCCCGCGGCGCCCGCGGCCATCGCGCCCACGACAAGTAGCGCCAGGAGCGCGCGCGATCCCGCCGCGCCCGCCGCCATCTCCGCACGCGTGCCCGCCGCGCCGCGCGCGCGCTATAAGCGCGGCCGGCGCAAGCACGTGGGGCGGAGCCCGCGCCGGGCCCGCCCCCTGACCAGTACGACCGCCAATAGCGCAGCGCAGCTCTGGGCTGGCCACGCCCTCCCGCCCCGGCGCAGCCAATCAGAGGGAAGAGTGCAGGGAGCGCCCCCGCCCCCCGCGCGCAGAGCCGGTTCGGGCCGGTCCCGCCGCGGCCACGCCCCCGCGGGTGCCGATGGCCCCGGGAGAGGTCCCGGTGCTGCCCTGGGGACGGGGGGGCTCAAACACATGCCCGTCCCTGCTGAGCCCCCGGACACACCGGGCACGGCCCCCCCAGGCCATGGAGCCCCTCGGGGCGCACCGTGGGCAGAGGCGTGCGGGAGCCAGCGCGTGCTCGGGCCCGCGGAGTCCCGGGGCAGCGCCGGGAGCCGCCGCGGCTGTGCCGAAGGCACGCGGGAGTTCACGGAAGGCTCACGGGGTGAGCCAGGGCCGCCCGCGGGCCCCCCGCACAGCGGGATGTGTGGGAAGGGAACCGGGCAGCGCTTCCTCGGCGCGGGATGCTCAGGGGAGACAATGGATCCTGCGGACACGGCGGGGCCGGTGCCAGGACAAACCGGAGCGGCTGCGCGAGGCCCTGCCCCACAGCCCCCTCCGGGCCTCGGCACAGCGCCCACGGCCCCGGGTCTAGGGTACCCAGGGAACACGCCTGGCCCCGGGATCTCAGCCGGGCAGTGCATGCCGGGGGGCCGGGGGTTGCCGGTGCCAGCCCAGCCAGAGCTGCCTGGTAACGCCGAGGGGCCAGGGCGAGCAATAACCAACATGGCCCAAGGCAGCCAATGCAGAGGCCTCTGCAGGACAGCAGCTCTGTCCCCAGGTCTCCCCCCAGCTCTTCTACATCCTGGGAGCCAACTCTTGGCTGAACCAGCAGTGGGAGCAGGGTGGAGCACTCTGGCCGGGGGGTGCGGGGCAAGGGGGGCAGGAAAAGCCAAAACAATGGGGCCATTGGCGCCAGTCCCCACCGTGCTCTCCACGGGGATCTGCCTGCTCCTGTAAACTCCTGAATCCTCCCAGAGCATTTCTTGCCCACGTCTGCTCCCAGCACGTTCTGCCCCCCCTGCACTGGGGGCATTTGGCAGATGGGGCTCCCCTGGTGCAAAAATCAGGCAGAATGTGGAGCCCACGGCACCCTCAGCCTGAGGAGCTGGTCCTGATCTGGGCAGCCTCCAGTGTCCAGCACTGTTGGGAACTCCCAGGGAGGGGGAGAGAAGCTGCATGGAGCTCCAGGACCTTCCTGCCAGGGAGACAGCAAGGGGCAGGTTCTGCAGGGCCAAGGCTGGGGTGGTCCCTGGCCCTGGGGGCAGCTCACAGTGCTGCCGGAGCATCACCCCGAGGGCAGCAGGGAGGGAACCAGCTGCAAGGAGCCAGCAAAGGCAGAGGGCACTTGGGCACAGTAATTCGTACCCCTGTGGGTGGGGGAGGCTACTGGAGGTGCCCAGAGAAGCCCTCCAGAAAAGGAGGGGGGAGCTGGCTGTGAAGGGGGGGCAGCCAGGGCTGCTGCTCCATGCCGGCTGGTTGACCTTGGAAGCCGTTTGCCAGGCCTGAATAAAGCGACAATAATCCTATTCACCTTTTAGCCTCATTTCCTAAGGCAACAAAGCACATGCCCTCTCCACGTGCAGTTGCAGGTGTCACTCAAGCCCTGATCCCATTTGCACGACTCCAGCCGGGGGGAAGTTTTGCTCATTACCCCTCTGATGAGCTTTGTGCTGGGGGGGCAGGAGCCTCAGGCAGGCGGTTTGCCAGGGCCTCATCCCTGCCCTAGCCCCAAGGCGCTGGCAGCAGGGCTGCTCACCCCATCCCAGCGGGAGAAGGCAGCGGCAGTGCCCCAGGCTGGAGTGGGGCGGGCTGGGAGCTCACATATCCCAGCCCCTCTCAGTCTGTGGGCTCAGGACACACCCAACCCGGATCAGAGGAGCTGAGAGGGCCCCAGGCACCCACTGTGCACCCATCAGCCGCCGCTCAGCACAGCTGGGCACTGCCCGGGCAGGTCTGCTGTCTGCAGAGGAGCAGGAAGGGAAGCACCTTCCCAGTGCAGCACTGGAGGGTTTGGCCCAGGCCAAGAGACCATGTGTTGGCCGCAGGTCTAGGGCAGAGGCACCTAACGCTGCACCCTCCCCTCCCTGGGAAGGGCAAAGATGCTCTCCAGGCCAGAGGCAACCCTGCCCAGATGCTCCTGCCTCCTCTGCAAGGTGGGAAGAGGGTTGCTGTGAGACCCACGCTGCCCTGAGCCCTGGGAGAGCAGCCAGCCCATCCTGCCACAGCTCCATGCGGGGGCTGAAGGGCAGGAGCTGGTCCACGTCTGGCATGGAAACCCCTGGAACAGACCAGGCAGAGTCTCGCCGATGTACCACAGCCTTCCCTAGAAGAACTTTATTAAATAGTTTCCAAAAAAACAGAAGCAGAAAGACTCAGCATGACCCTGTCCCTCCCAGCTAGTCAAAAACTACAAACAGACCACCCCCGTGCCCCCAGTGCTGGCAGCTGCCGGGCAGAAACTGCCTGGTGCCCTACGAACACAGCTCTGGCATCACAGGCAGGGGAGGCAGGAAGGTCCCACAGGGACAGCCCAGAGGGCTGCAGGGTGAGCCCCAGAAGGTGTTGAAAATCACACAACGCTCACATGCTGCCCCCCCAAAAGCAACCACTCACTGCCACCACAAGCCCCCCAAACCACTCCTCCCCCACAGGGCTGAAGAGGAGCTGAACATGCCCAAACAAGGGGCAGCCAACATCAGCTCTGGCTGTCACTCCTCAGCTAGAGACACCAGTGCCCCAGTTTCTGTGGCTTTGTGAACACCCAAACACAGCTTCCCCCTTCCCCCCCTTTGAAGTTCATAAAATAGGGGGTTTCTTTTTGCTTTGCCTACAAAGACAGTGATTTCCTTTGCAACAGCAGAACAGTCTCCCTGCGAGGTAGAGAGTTAATTTCAGGGCTGACAGATCCTAAATTCAAACCCGCTTGTTCTAGTTGAGGTAAAATTCAGTAGTTTATAGTAAGTTTTGCAATGCTAGAGGGCCATCAAGATTCCTCATTGCCAGAGTCATCCTCATCACCATAACAGCTCTCTGCTTCCTCCTCCATCTCGTCATCCTCATAATAGTCATCATAGAAGAGGTCTGAGCCCTCATCTGAGGCTGGAACCTTGGTCTTCACACAGTACTCTGCCAGCGTGGTGGGGACTTTCACACCATCCCGCTCAGCATCCAGTTTGGTGCCCAGCACTTGCTTCCTGGAGGGCCAGAAGTGAGGGGTGAGGACAGAGCTCTGCACCGCAGCCCTCCAGATCCCGTGTCCCACAGGATGCCAGCCCAGCCAGCACTGCCAGGCCTGGCTCAGCACACACCTGATGATGTCCGTGTACTCCCGGTCCTTCCCTTTGCTCTCCTTCCACTTGCGGTACATCACAGAGGCGTCCACGTTGGCTGGGGAAAACGTGTTGGGCTCATTCAGCAGTGAGATCACACTCAGGAGAATGGTCCTGGCATCGATAAACACAGGCAGGTCAGAGCCCAGGCGGGTCAGCAGCCACCCACACCCCAGCAGTGCCAGCAGCCCCGTGTCCCAGCAATGCCACTGAGTCCATGGGCTGAGAGAGCCCTGTGCTGCCCACAGCAAGGGAAGGTCCCAGTGAGGAGGAGCAGGCCAGGCAGGGGACACCAGCACATGGGCTGTCGGGCTCACATGCAACCCCACACAAGCTCTGCCTGTTCTTCAGCAAAGCCCACAGCCCAAGTGCCTCCAACAGCCCCCTGGAATCTCCTTCAGGCTTTGGGAGCAGAAGGCCGTCCCCATCCTCCCACCGTCCCACCCCTGCCCTCAGCTGAGCCCCCCACCCGCAGCCCTCACCGCACGTTCTGGGTGGGGTTCCAGCGCTCCGATGGCAGCTCCCCACTCTGCGGGTCGTCCACGGGTGGGTGGAGGATGGAGATGCAGACATCACCAGTCTGAAAGCACAGGAGAAACAGA